CCCCTCGGTTTTCGGTCTGTTGGGACCGTTTTCCCAGGGCGTTCTGCTGGGGTCTGTGCTTTGCCTTTTAGTGGTGTTCTCCGCCGGCAAATGTGGTGGTTTGGGCTCCCCCTGGTTCGATTCTGGGTTCCTTTGGGTTCCTTGGTTTCGTTCTGGAGGTTTCTTCCTCTTGGGCCCCCTTTTGTGGGTTCAGGGGACTTTGTTTCCTCGTGTGACCCGGTTCTGCCTTTTGGGGTTCCGGGGTCTTCCTGGCTTGCAGACTGAGCTTTTTGGGTCTTGGCACATGTTGTGGTTGTGCTGGGACTTTGTGGTTTTGCTGTCGAGGTGGGCCTTTTGATGCAGTTTTGTGCCTTCTTTGCCTGGCCGGCGTAGTGCTCTTTGCCACTAGTCGGCGGCTTGTGCTTTTACACTATATGTCCTCACCTAGTTGTGCTTGTGGGGGTTGAGCTCTGGCTCCTTGGTCCTGCCTCTCAACCGTCCGTCAACAGGTGTATCGGTTCCTGTGCCTCTTGGGCTCTGTCATGTCTACATGTGACATTGTATGGGGGTCAGCCTCGTTCCTTGTGTGAGGAGTCGCCACATTACTTCTTAGTGCTTTCCCGTTCCCATTCTGACACTCACAAAAAAAAAAAAAAAAAAAAAAAAAAAAAAAAAAAAAAAAAAAAAAAAAAAAAAAAAAAAAAAAAAACATTCTATCTGTGGCTCTTTTGGGTACTCAGTTTCCACCTGTGTCGCCTAGTGCGTGTGCCCCTTGTGTTACATAGCCTGTCCTTCTCAACCCTGTCGATTTCCTTGGGTATCTTGTATGTGGTGATCAGGTCTCACCTCACTTCCTCTTCCAGCGAAGTGTGGTTTCATTCCCGTAGTCTCTCCTCATGACTTCGGTAGTGTACTTTTTCTTTCTGAAGGGGTTCTGTTCCCTTCTCTGTTGACTGGGCGCTGGGGGAGCAGCTTGCTCTGTTGCCTCTCGCTTGGTCCCGCTGTTGGTGGGCGCTTTGGGTTGTCTTCCGGCCTCTGCTGGCGTCGGAGGACGGCTTCTCCCCCTTGGGGGGGGTTCAGAGCTGGCGGGGTGGGCTTCTTCCCTGCGCTTCGTCATTTCCTCTTCGTGGGTGCGTGGGGCGTGGTCGATCCGCCCCATCCTTCTGGGCTTCCCGTCTGCTCTTTGCAGTCATGAGCTTTTCCCGTCTGCTCTTTGCAGTCATGAGTTTTTCCAGTCTGCAGTTCTTCTGGACTACTTCCGTCTGCGCCCTGGATCCTCTGCCCTGCTCGGAGGACTGTTGTCTCCTGTTCGGATTCTGTTAGGGCCGGGTGCATGGATGGTGGACCTGGACCTCCAGGTCACTTCTTGGCACGTTCCTCTCCAGTTTTTCTGGGGCTAGCACGGTTGGTAATTCCCTATGTGTACTTACCTCAGTGTAGTTACAGGATGTGAGCTACTCTCGTGGTGTCCCCTCTTCCCGGCACTCTTTGTCATATAATGCCTTGATTATACTTGTCATATTGTCATATAATGATTGTCATATGTCATAATGTCTTCATATGGTTGTCATACAATGCTTTGATGGTGGGGCTTCAGGTTTGCTGTTTTTATTGCATTCCCTATTTTGTGAAGGGCACTTTGTATACTCTTTGCATCTTTACCGGATCTTAGTGCCCTGTCTGCGTCTGAGATTCGGTGTCTGGCCTACCTCGACGACTGGCTGGAGTGGGCTCCCAGTCAGTCCGCTTGTCTGCTCGCCAGGGGATGGTTCTTTCCAGATCGCTGGGTTTGGTTTCCTGGTGATCTGGAGGTTTTACCTTCTGTTTCCGTCCCGGGTTCGGACCTGGGCCTTGTTTCTGGCTCTTGGGCCCCTCATTGTCTTCCCTCCAGAAGTGTTGCTGTGGCTGTGGTCCCGCCTTTGGCTGTTCAGGAGGGGGTCCCGGGTTGCTCAGCGGTTGCTTGGGCGGTTGTGCGGGAGTTTGCACTTCGGCGTGCTTATCTGCCCGCGGAGTCGGGTTTGGCTCCGGCGTCGGTTGGTTCCTACGGAGACTCCACTTCCGCCTCTTGCATTCCTTGGGTTCCTCTGGGGATCTGGTGTTGGTGCTGCGTCACCAGCTTCCTCTTTGGGGTTTTCGGGGTTCCGTGCCTTGGCGGCTCCCCGAGCCTTCGCTCGATGTGTTCACGGACGGGTCGTCTCTCGGCTGGGGCTTTGTGACCAGTGCTCACCAGGTCGGCCGAGGTTGATGGAGTCTGTCTGTCCATCGGGCTCACAGCCCGGTTCAGGTGTTCATGGCTGTCTGGTTTGCGCTTCGGAGGGTTTGGGTCACTAGGTACTCTCCCATTCGGCTCTGTTTGGACTGTTCTCTGGTGGTTCTTGCCGGAACCACAGGGGGTTTGGTTAACCGTGTGGTTCGTGTCCGGGGTGTGTCCTGCGTCCTGGTGGACAGCTGTCTCGGTTCATTCCTCTTCGTGGGTTGGCCAGTCGTCGCCGATTCGTTTTGTTGGCTCTGTTGGGCTTATGGACTCCTGGCCATGGACGTCTTCGGGTCGGCGTGGTCTAGGCGTCGCCCGTTTTGTGGCGCCCTTCCCACCTGCGAGGACTTCACGGTGGAGGTTTTCGGCAGGCCTGGTCGAGGTGGGGGGTACCGGTACCTCTTCTCCCGGTCCAGCTGTTGCTTCGGGTTCTGGCTCAGTTGCAGCCCATTCCCACGAGAACAGTCCTTATGGTTCCACTGTGGCCGGCCCGGCCTTCTTTTCAGACGCTGCTTGATAGGTGTCCGTACCCGGGGCGTTTTTCCTGAGGCTTCGCCTCTTTCAGCAGGCCGAATCGGTCCTGTCCGTGACTGGTTCGGCCTTCTCTTTGGCTCTTCGCGTCTGGTATTTTGACGCAGGTATCGCCATCTCTATGGTGTTCAGGTGGTTTTGTTGACGGTGTCCCACCTGCGAGCTTCGTCTTGGAGACTGTATGACGTTTCTTACGTCTTCTCGCGTTTTGTTTCCCCCCCGGCCTGCTCATGAGTCGCCCGAGCCATCCTGGTCCTTGTTCAGGGTGCCTTCTTCTCTTCCCCTCAGTTTGTGGTAGCCCCTTCGGTTTTAGTTTCCTCCTCTTTGGTACTGGTGGTAGCTTTATTGGTGTGCAGCCTTTCTCTGTCCTGGCGACGGTCGAGACGGCTGCTTTCCGGAGGGGTTCTTGGGGTATTAGTACTTGTTTGGTTTGGCCGGGGGGTGCGTCCTGTGTTCTCCCGGGTCGTCCGCAGTGTTTTCCTTCTTACTGCGGTCTGTCTTTGCGCCCGTGCTGTTCAGACGTTTGCAGCAATTGCTGCTGTGTTGGTGACGTCTCGGGCTCATTTCGGGCGCAGGGAATTGTGGGTCGCACAGGTTTTTGGCCGCCCATCCATGTGTATGTCTGTTCTTGGGCGTTCTTGTTGCCTTGGGTCGCAGGTTTGCGACCGGTTGTCTTGGCTTTGCGTTGCAGAGTTTGTGGCGGCCGCCTCCCGGGTTAGCCCTTTCTTTTCCTTCTCTTTGGGTATGAAGCTCCAGGGAGCCGTAGGGGCTCCCCACAGAAAACCAGCGTTGAATGTAATGAAACGCCATTTTCTGGGTGAGCCCCGGAGGCTCCCTGGCAACCCTCCCTCCCTCCGGTCGGCGGTTTTTTCGCGTTGGTTGAGGCTTAGCTTCCGAACTGGAGCTTGGCAGCCGGCGCGGTAGGTCCGGGGCTCCCCCCTCCCCCTCCCGGGGTGGGGAGGGCTGCGCGGACGATCGGCGCGGCAGTAAAGTGTGATGTTTGCTTGTTTGCTTGTTTCCTTGGGATTGTAGGGAGTTTTCTACCTCTCTGTTCGGTTTTTGTTGTAGTGTCTTACCATGTGGGGTTTGTTTTGTTACGCCTACCTTTCTGGGTGCCTAACCCCGGTCGATGGCAGATAAGGAAAACCCCCAACCATATGGGGTTTTCCAGGGCCATTGCTCCCTGAAACCTCTCTGAAGGGGCCAGGTTCTGGCGCTGGTCCCTGGTAGGTCTGAACTCCTTAGCTAATGTCCCGGTCTAACATAACACACATTAGCCCGATAAGCTCCAGGGAGCCTCCGGGGCTCACCCAGAAAATGGCGTTTCATTACATTCAACGCTGGTTTTCTGGTTGAGCCCTGGAGGCTCCCTGGCAACCCTCCTTCCCACCGGTCGGCGTTTTTTTCACGTTGGTTGAAGCTTAGCTTCCGAACTGATGCTAGGCAGCCGGCGCGGTAGGCCCGGGGCTCCCCCTTCTCCTTTCAGGGTGGGGAGGGCTGCGCGGACGATTGGCACGGCAGTAAAGTGTGACGTTTGCTTATTTCCTTGTTTCCTTGGGATTGTAGGGAGTTTTTACCTCTGTTCGGATTTTTGTTTTAGTTTTTTACCATGTGGGGTTTGTTTTGTTATGCCTACCTTTCTGGGTGCCTAACCCCGGTCGTTGGCAGATAAGGAAAACCCCAACCACAAGGGGTTTTTCCAGGGCCATTGCTCCCTGAAACCTCTCTGAAGGGGCCAGGTTCTGGCTCATGGTCTCTGGTAGGTCTGAACTCCTTAGCTAATGTCCCGGTCTAATATAACATACATTAGCCCGATAAGCTCCAGGAAACCTCTGGGGCTCACCCAGAAAATGGCGTTTCATTACAGTCAACGCTGGTTTTTTTTGTTTGGTGTATGTTGATATAATAATAATAATTAATCTCTATTATAATAATGTATGTAAAATAATATATATATAATAATGTATATATAATAATGTCTCATAATTCTAATTTTGTTCTTGTTTTATGTAATTTTGAACTAATGAAATTTGATTACTGTAACAATGTTGAAGATAATCAGTAATTTAAAATACCTGAACAATTATCATGGTCGTATTATGCAAAGCCTATAATATTGTATACAAAAAAGTTTGCCCCATACCACTGAACTGTACCTTATTAATTTGTGTATACTTGTAGTGCAACACATTTGATACATTCAATTTACAGTCGATAAATATTTCATATATTTCAGACAATGACAGAGGCACTTCTGTGTTCTGGTGTTACTGAAAACATCCAGTTTGCTGGTGAACTATTAGAAACTCGAGTAGATCGATCTCCAGTAAACAATCCATACCTTCAACAGCTACCGTTTGCTCAAGCTGTGAAGCTGGTAATTACAGCCGCCACACATTATTGTAATTCTTCGGAGAGCCATGCTGATGAAGCTATGAAGTTGGCAATGTAAGCTATGTGAAATTTACGTGGTTGTTGGTTTATTAAGACCTCAGCATATCCCAGGACAAATTTATCCATGAATCTTAACTCTCCAGTCCACTGACAGTGTTGCATTTCAGATTAGGCACTAAACTGAATTTGATGAATATCGACACGGTTCCAGTTATATGAAGTTATTGTATTGATTCTTATAGTCCTTAGCAACATTGGTCATGGATGATAGCCCTTAAGAACTGTGGTCATGGATGATAGCTCTTAATACAGTGGTCAATTTATCATGGATGATAAGTTGCTGTATCATCCATGACCACTGTTGCCCTTAGCAACAGTGGTCATGGATGATAGTCCTTAGCCACATTGGCCAAGAATGATATCCCTTGGCAACATTGGCCAAGAATGATATCCCTTGACAACATTGGCCAAGAATGATATCCCTTGGCAACATTGGCCAAGAATGATATCCCTTGGCAACATTGGCCAAGAATGATATCCCTTGGCAACATTGGCCAAGAATGATATCCCTTGGCAACATTGGCCAAGAATGATATCCCTTGGCAACATTGGCCAAGAATGATATCCCTTGACAACATTGGCCAAGAATGATATCCCTTGGCAACATTGGCCAAGAATTATATCCCTTGGCAACATTGGCCAAGAATGATATCCCTTGGCAACATTGGCCAAGAATGATATCCCTTGACAAAATTGGCCAAGAATGATATCCCTTGGCAACATTGGCCAAGAATGATATCCCTTGACAAAATTGGCCAAGAATGATATCCCTTGGCAACATTGGCCAAGAATGATATCCCTTGGCAACATTGGCCAAGAATGATATCCCTTGACAACATTGGCCAAGAATGATATCCCTTGGCAACATTGGCCAAGAATGATATCCCTTGACAACATTGGCCAAGAATGATGTGCAGGTTCCTTCTCTGTCGGCTACACTTGTGGCTAAGGACTTAAGGGCTCGTGGCTTTTTTGGCTTCGGTCCTGCGTTTCTTTTCCCTCCTGGAACTGTCTTTGGATTGGCTTGCGTTGGATGTAGCGGCGCTTGGGGCCGTTCCTGGGTCTGGCACCTTAGTCTCGGCTGCTCGAGCGTTGTCTGTTCTTTTGAAGCTGTTTGCGCCGATCCTGCGAGAGGTGTTGCTATGGTTTTTCACTGCGCATTTTGCGTGTCGACAGGCGGTTCTTGCTTCCTCTTTGGAATCCGCTTGGAGTCTGGTTCTTAGGTTGTCTTTTCCTTTTTGTCCTCTGCTTTTTGAGGCCTCTGTGGTTGAGCGGCCAGGCTTCCTCAGGTGGCTTCTTCCACTTGCCGCCCTATGTCTGAATTGTTGGTGCTCCGGCGGAACCGGGGGGGTTCTTTCCGGCGGGGTCATGCCAGGGCTCGCGGTTCCGTTTGTCGGGGTTGGCCACTGGTGTTGGGTTTGGTGCTGGTGCCGTTTGTGGTCCCGACTGTGCCTAGTCGATGCAGTGTTCGCTCCGCCTGCAGATCGGGTTCACGTAAGGGGCAGCGGCCCTTTCGCGGTTCACCCCATTGATGGAGCAATGGGCTTGCTCAGTTTGCTCACACCTGGTCTCATGATTTGTGGGCTTTTCGGGTCGTTTCTCTCGGCCTGCGGTGGCGTTGAGTGGCTTCTCCTCCTTTGGGGGGTTTGGGGCTGAAGGGGCAGGCTTCCTCTCATGCGCTCTGTTGGGTCATCTTGGAGTGGGTGCGCTTGGGCGTTGTCGAAACGACGACGTCTCTCAGGTGGGTTTTCCACCTGTTCCTAGTTACGAAATGGGACTGTGCGGACCTGTGGTTCATTCTGGACTTGTCCCATCTGAACCCTTGGGTTTCTTGCCCCTCGTTTCGAATGACCTCCCTGTCCCAGGTCCGGCTTCTGTTGGAGTCGGGCGCTTGGATGGTGTCCCTGGACCTCAAGGACGCATATTGGCACGTCCCTATTCATCTGAGGTTCCAGGACTGGCTCGGTTTTATTGTGGGGCATTAGAGTTACCGCTTTTGTTGTCTCCTTTTCGGGTTGTATCTGGCACCTTGCGTGTTCACACGCCTTGCTGGGGTCGTGGTGGCCTGTTTGTGTCTGTTGGGTGTTCGGGTGTTGGCTTACCTTGACGACTGGCTGGTTTGAGCTCCCAGTCGGTCCGCGTGTCTGCTCACCAGGGATTTAGTGCTTTCCCAGCTCCCCGGGTTCGGGTTCCTGGGTTCCTGGTGACCTGGAGGAAGTCCCATCTGGTTCTTTCCCAGGTTTGGTCTTGGCTGGGTTTTGTGTGGGACTCTCGGACCGCTTCCTTGTCTCTTCCTCCGGCGTCTCTTCCTCCTTTGGCTGCGGTCCCGCCTGTGCTTGTTTCTGGGGGGTCTCCCGGGTCACCCGGCGGTTGCTCGAGGGTCTGTGCGGGAGTCTGAACTTTGCGATGTTTGTCTACCCACTGGGTCGGGTTTGGCTTCGTCGGCTGTTCTGGTTCCTTTGTGAACGTCCCTTCCACCTCTCCCGATCGCTGGGTTCGTCCCCCGGGGGCCTTGTGTCAACTGCTGCATCGCTGGTTTCCTCTTTGGGTTTTTCAGGGTTCTGTGCCTTGTCGCCTTCCTGAGCCCTCGCTTGATGTCTTCACGGACGCGTCGTCTCTTGGCTTTGTGACCAGTGCTCACCAGGCAGGTCAGGGGCAGTGGGGTCCGTCCTTCCGTCGGGTCCACAGCACAGTGCAGTTTGTGCTTCGGAGGGTTCGGGTCGCCCGTGGATCAACGATCCGGGTCCATTCGGACTGCTCCCCGGTGGTTCATTGCCTGAACCGAGGGGGTTCGATGCGGTCCTTGGCTCTTTGGGGTTGGTTGCTTCGGGTGACTCGTCTGCTGAGTTCTCGGGGGTTTGGCTCTATTGGCGTTTCACATCCGGGGGGGGGGGGGGGTCCAATGTACTGGCGGACGGCCTGTCCCGGTTTGTTCCCCTGTCCATAGAATGGACGGTCGATGTCAACTCATTCAGTTGGCTCTGCCAGACGTTCGGGTGCCCGGAGGTGGACCCCTTCGCGTCAGCGTGGTCGAGGCGTCTTCCGGTATATGTGGCGCCCTTTCCTGACAGCAAGCCTGTTGGGATCAATGCTTTTCGACAGGACTGGTTGAGGTGGGGGTTCCTGTACCTCTTTTTCCCGGTTCAGCTGTTGCTCCAGGTCCTGGCTCGCTTGGAGACTTACCAGGGGCGAGTTGTCCTCTTGGCCCCATGGTGGCCGGCCCAGCCGCGGTTTCAGGCACTGCTTGCCCGGTGTTCGAACACAGAGGTTTTTCCGCGTCTCCGCCTCTTTCAGAAGATCGGCCCGGTCTGGTACGAGACTGGTTCGCTCTTTTCAGCGAGTCTTCACATTTGGTGTTTTTGACTTGTGTTTATCTCTATGGTGATCAGGTGACTTCCTTGCTGGTTTCCCACCTGCGAGCTTCCTCTCGGCGGCAGTATGAAGTTTCCTGGCGGTCCTTCCGGTTCTTTTTGTCCCTTCATCGTTGCTCTTCGCTTTCAGTTCGGGTGGTGTTGTCCTTTCTCTCTTGGTTGTTCCAGGACCGTCATCTTATGCCTAATACTGTCTCCTCGTATTGTACAGTGCTGGCGGAGCCGCTGCAGCTTGCTTTCAGTATCGATGTTACTTCTGCACCGTTTCACAAGCTGTCTCGTGCGTTGTTTCACCTCCGGCCTGCTCATGTGCCACCTGAGCTGTCCTGGTCTTTGGACAGTACTCTCCTATCTTTCTTCTCCTCAGTTTGTTGTGGCCCCTTCGGTTCAGGATTGTTTTGCTAAGAATCTTTTCCTGTTGGCATTAGCCTCTGGGTGTCGTGTGGCGGAGGTTCATGCTCTTCTTTGGCGCAGAGGTTTTTGCTCTTCATGTCATGGTCATAGGTATGTTCGTCCATAGCCGTCTCCCTCTTTTCTGGTGAAGAATGAGACTGCTGCCTGCCAGAGAGGTCCTTGGGCTGTTGATGCTTGGTTTGTCAGGCCAGGGGTTCATCATGTTGTGTGTCCGGTTGCGGCCCTCCGCTGTTATCTGCGTGCCACGGCTAATGTGTCCGGGAACGTGCTTTGGGTTAATCCGGTTTCCCTTCTTCCCTGTTTACAGGTTCGGGTCTCTCAGGTCGTCCGCAGGGTAATTAAATTCAGCCAGCCTGTGGTCTATCCCCGCAGCAAACTGACGTTTGTCAGTTTGCTGCTCTTACTGCCGTCTTTAGCAATATGTCTTGGGCTGACATTCAGGCACTGGGTTTTTGACGGTCGAACAGGGTCCTGGCTGCACGCTGCCTCGTGAACGTTCCCGGGCTCAGTCGGACCCATGTCGCTTTGGGTCGGCGGTTGCAGCCCGTTGTCTCAACTTCGAGTTGAGGAGTGGAGCACCGACTGCCTCCCGTGTAAGTCCCCTTTTCTTTTGTTGTCTTTTGTGAAGTAGCTCTGGGGAGCTGTAGGGGCTCCCTCCAGAAAACCAGCGTTGAATGTAATGAAACTCCATTTTCTGGGGGAGTCCTGGAGGCTCTGGTGGCTGAGCCGGACAGAGGAGCCGGTGTCTGAGCGGACAGAACACTGGACGCGTGATCCTGTGGTCCCTGGGTTCGATCCCGGGCGCCGGTGAGAAACTATGGGCAGAGTTTCTTTCACCCAGATGCCCCTGTTACCTAGCAGTAAATAGGTACCTGAGAATTAATCAGCTGTCACGGGCTGCTTCCTGGGGGTGGAGGCCTGGTCGAAGACCGGGCTGCGGGGACACTAAAGCCCTGAAATCATCTCAAGATAACCACAAGATAACTTCCCCGGCAACCCTCCCTCCCTCCGGTCGGTGATTTTTCGCGTTTTTGATATCCAGCCTCAGAACAGGTGTGGGGATCATCGTTGCGAAGGGTCTGGGGCTCCCCTTTTCCCCTCCCGGGGAGCTGCGCAGACATACGGCGCGGCTCGTGTGACGTCATATTTGTTTGCTTGTTTTTCTATTGGGGAGTTCTGTCCACTCGTTTGATGATTTTTGTTGTTAACCAGAATAGGGGGTTTGTTTTGTGGCGCTTACCTTTCTGGGTGCCTGTCCTGGTCGATAACAGATATAGAATGCTCTAAATTGCATGTGCATTTCTATGGGCCATTGCTTCTCGTGCCTCTCTGAGGGGACCAGGTTCTGGCTCGTTGTCCCCGGTAGGCCTAAAACTCCACCCATGTCGACTGATGCAAAATAGTTAGGGGTATCCATATCAGCCATGGATAGCTTCGGAGAGCCTCCAGGACTCGCCCAGAAAATGGCGTTTCATTACATTCAACGCTGGTTTTATATTTATTTACATATACTGTACTGTAGTTAAATTTTAGACATTAGGTGCAGTGCTATTATTAATCAGTTGTACAGTACTGTAAACCTATCAGAAGTGACTGCAAAGATAATAATAAATATTCCGCATATCATTTGAATAATTTATTGTACTTAGCATTATCAAATTGTGAATTATTAATGACATCTTTTTATATAATTTGAGATTCTTCATTGTGAGGTGGGTAGCGATGCAATATGATAAATTTTCAAATTATCTCCCTCTTAGGCAAAGTCTTTGTCTGATTGAATCTGAAAATGAGGACATCAAAAGAGAGAAGGATCTCATCTCTGCACTTCAAATGTTGCCAGACTTTGGTATACATAAACTTCCTCTACAAGGTACTAGTGCAGAAATTTGAAATGCGTGATACAGAGCACCACTTGGTTTCCGAACTTTAGTTATCCGAAACTTCCAGTTTCCCGATTGGGGTTGGGGAGTCATGCTACCCGAACAAAGTTCGGGTAGGAAGGGGTCCACCAAGCGTCACGCCGGCTTGTGGTGGTGGGTGGGCGATGGTCCAGTTTGCCCACTGTGACTTCACAGATTCACGGCCTATTATTCCTATTATTTTGAATTGCCATAAGGCTGGAATGTTCATTCTGTGCTTTTGTTTTACATATCTGCACAATCAAGAAACATCTGTGCACCATGTTGGCTCCAAATGCACCCATTGCGTCAGTGATGGCCGACTGGTGGGTGGATGGACGATGGAACTTAGGTGGGAGGCAGTATGAATGAGGGGGGGGGGAGAATCAGTGAGAGAGGGGGGAGAGAGATGCTAGGAGGGAGGGGGAGGTAGGGAGAGATGTTAGGAGGTAGAGAGAGATGCTAAGAGGGAGGGGGAGGTAGGGAGAGATGCTAGGAGGTAGGCAGGGGGGTGGGGGTGGTGTGTCGGTGGTGGGGGGAGAGGGGGAGGTGTGTCGGTGGTGGGGGGAGAGGGGGAGGTGTGTCGGTGGTGGGGGGAGAGGGGGAGGTGTGTCGGTGGTGGGGGGAGAGGGGGAGGTGTGTCTGTGGTGGGGGGAGAGGGGGAGGTGTGTCGGTGGTGGGGGGAGAGGGGGAGGTGTGTCGGTGGTGGGGGGAGAGGGGGAGGTGTGTCGGTGGTGGGGGGAGAGGGGGAGGTGTGTCGGTGGTGGGGGGAGAGGGGGAGGTGTGTCGGTGGTGGGGGAGGGACCGGCTGACTCCGTAAGCCTAACCACACTCCACAGACCTGTGACCCAGATTTGTTTCTTAAATGTACAGTACATCATCGTATATTTTAGGCAGGATGTGCCTGCAGGCTGGCAGGAAACATCCAGAGGATGTTTGCCAGACGTCTTAATAATCAGTTAGGAACAATTAAGGACTTTTATAAAGCGGATCAGGACTTCACTTATTGATGAGTACAAACAAAACACGGTCGCATTTATGCCATGAACCTGACGATTTTTTTCCCTAGAGTTTTTTTCATAAATTTTTCGGAAAAATTTCTTTTTACATTTCTAGTTTATTTTTTCCCCTCTATTTCTCGTATACGAACTTACATGTTAACCGACGGGTCTCGTCCCCAAGGGGTTCGGAAACCAAGTGGTGCTCTGTACTACATTATGTTATTTATTAACAATATATTTTGTGCATTATAATCGACTAAAATAATCATTCTTCATAAATTTTATTTATCACTTGTATTGTTATTTATTTTCTATATATCACTGCAGATATGTGTAGAGATAGTTTTTTGTTGTCCAGTACATATAAATTAAATGTTTGTATTAAAGGGGGGATTTTTAGTTCTAATTTGAATGTTGCATTCTAATAAATAAGCATATCATTTGCGTGTGACCAGTTCGGCTGTGTGAAGATCGACTAGGCCTGATAGCTGAAGGTTTGCAGATAAAGAAAGGAAGCTATCGTCATGGTTCTCGGCTCCTGCAACTTGCCACCTTGTTGCGGGTTTGTGGAACAGATGCTCGAACGAGGCAAGCGAAGGTCCTTACTCTTGTTGCTCAGGCAGCTCTAAAGGTAAGTTGAATGACCAGTTCTTTATCTGTTTGTCATCACTTTAGATACCACTTTAATCCCCCGCCCCCTCAAAACAAACACACACACACACATACACAGTGACCATGTCTTTTTGGGAATAAAGTATGCAATGCGTTATAAGCTGGAAGAAAATAAGGAGGTTGAAGCAGTTGAAAAACCAGACTTCAGGAGAGGACATTATGGTGACCTTAGAAATTTTTTTAGTGAGTATAATTGGACAGACTTGATGCTAGGCAAGGAAGTGAATGAGATGTATGTCAAGTTTTGTGAAATATATGATAAAGGCACAAAAAATTTATACCAAAACAGAGATGCAGAACTAGGAAACAGGATTGGTTCAATAGAAATTGCGAGAGGGCTAGAGACCAAAAGACACAAAAATGGAATCAATACAGGAAGAGGCCGAACCCCCAAACATACCAGCGATACAAAGATGCGAGAAACAACTACACGGCAGTGAGGAAAGAGGCAGAAAGAAATTTTGTAAAAGGGATTGCAGACAAATGTAAAACAGAACCAGGTCTATTCTATAAATTCATAAACAACAAATTGCAGGTAAAGGATAATATTCAGAGGTTGAAAATGGGAAATAGATTCACGGAAAATGAAAAGGAAATGTGTGAAACACTAAACGAAAAGTTCCAAAGTGTGTTTGTACAAAATGAAATCTTTAGGGAACCAGATACAATAAGAATTCCAGAGAACAACATAGAGCACATAGAGGTGCCTAGAGACGAAGTGGAAAAAATGCTCAAGGAGCTCGGTAAGAACAAAGCAGTTGGTCCAGATGGCGTTTCACCATGGGTTCTGAGAGAATGTGCATCTGAGCTCAGCATTCCACTTCACCTGATCTTTCAGGCATCCCTGTGTACAGGAATCGTAGCAGACGTGTGGAAACAGGCTAACATAGTTCCAATCTACAAAAGTGGCTGCAGGGAAGACCCCCTCAATTATAGACCTGTATCATTGACAAGTGTAATAGTGAAAGTATTAGAAAAACTAATCAAAACTAAATGGGTAGAACACCTAGAGAGAAATGATATAATATCAGACAGACGGTATGGTTTTCGATCTGGAAGATCCTGTGTATCGAATTTACTCAGTTTCTATGATCGAGCCACAGAGATATTACAGGAAAGAGATGGTTGGGTTGACTGCATCTATCTGGACCTAAAAAAGCCTTTCGACAGAGTTCCACATAAGAGGTTGTTCTGGAAACTGGAAAATATTGGAGGGGTGACAGGTAAGCTTCTATCATGGATGAAAAATTTTCTGACTGATAGAAAAATGAGGGCAGTAATCAGAGGCAATGTATCGGAATGGAGAAATGTCACAAGTGGAGTACCACAGGGTTCAGTTCTTGCACCAGTGATGTTTATTGTGTACATAAATGATCTACCAGTTGGTATACAGAATTATATGAACATGTTTGCTGATGATGCTAAGATAATAGGAAGGATAAGAAATTTAGATGATTGTCATGCCCTTCAAGAAGACCTGGACAAAATAAGTAGATGGAGCACCACTTGGCAAATGGAATTTAATGTTAATAAATGTCATGTTATGGAATGTGGAACAGGAGAACATAGACCCCACACAACCTATATATTATGTGAGAAATCTTTAAAGAATTCTGATAAAGAAAGAGATCTAGGGGTGGTTCTAGATAGAAAACTATCACCTGAGGACCACATAAAGAATATTGTGCAAGGAGCCTATGCTATGCTTTCTAACTTCAGAATTGCATTTAAATACATGGATGGCGATATACTAAAGAAATTGTTCATGACTTTTGTTAGGCCAAAGCTAGAATATGCAGCTGTTGTGTGGTGCCCATATCTTAAGAAGCACATCAACAAACTGGAAAAGGTGCAAAGACATGCTACTAAGTGGCTCCCAGAACTGAAGGGTAAGAGCTACGAGGAGAGGTTAGAAGCATTAAACATGCCAAAACTAGAAGACAGAAGAAAAAGAGGTGATATGATCACTACATACAAAATAGTAACAGGAATTGATAAAATCGACAGGGAAGATTTCCTGAGACCTGGCACTTCAAGAACAAGAGGTCATAGATTTAAACTAGCTAAACACAGATGCCGAAGAAATATAAGAAAATTCACCTTCACAAATAGAGTGGTAGACGGTTGGAACAAGTTAAGTGAGAAGGTGGTGGAGGCCAAGACCGTCAGTAGTTTCAAAGCGTTATATGACAAAGAGTGCTGGGAAGACGGGACACCACGAGCGTAGCTCTCATCCTGTAACTACACTTAGGTAATTACACTTAGGTAATTACACATTTCTCATGTAGAAATAATTAGTAAATTGAAAGAAAGTAATGACCATTTAAAGAGCAAAGTTGAATGTCTTGAGGGTTTAGTGAAAGACTTGCACAAGGATAAGAATCAATTGGAAACAAATTTTAAAGCCATGGAAGAAGAAAATAAACTCTTAAAAATAGCTATGGAAGAAGTTAAAGTAAATTTAAACATAAATGACTACAAGAGGTTAGGTAAGGAAATTCAACAGGAGAAACAGCTTTTGTCAGCACAGATAGAGGAAGTTACACAGGGAATAGAATGGTGCAAGAAAGATATGCAACTCACTTATGCACAAGTGGCCAAGGAGAAGGAAAAAATTGAAGAAGCAGTAAAGGAAGCTAAACACTGCAGCAACCAAGATAAAACAAACATTAGGCTGAAAGTGAGAAAAGAATTGGCATCTAACCCGAAGTTGGTGCAAAACACAGTTGATCGGAGTAAGTCCCTGATAATTTTTGGCTGTAAAGAAAAGGAGATAACATCTAGGTCAGAAAGAGCTGTAGAAGAAGCAAAAGTAGTAGATAAAATTGTTGGCCTCGTGAAAGGTCTTACAACCATAGAGAATGTGTGCGACTACAGGAGAATAGGCAGATATGTAAAAGAGAAAGATCGACCTTTGAGGATCACCCTAAATGGTGCCAAACAGATGGAAGAAGTACTAAGGAATGCTAGAAAATTACAAAGTGATGAGGATGGGAAAGTGTGGTCGTTAAGACGAGATCTTTTAAAAGAAGATAGGGAGAAGCTGAAACTGAACCTCGCGGAGGCAAAATGCTTAAATGAGAGCAGGAATGAAGAAGAAATCAATTCTTTTTTCTACAAAGTGATAGGGGTAGGCAGACCAGTAAAGTGATACATAAAGGCAAACCAACAAAATCATTAGAGAGGGGGGGAGTGAAAAATAAGAAGAGGGGGAACAAGTTCCTGAAGATTGCATACACCAACATAGATGGAGTAAGATCGAAGATACTGGAGTTAAGTGATGTAATACAGCTGCAGACACCAGACATTGTTGCACTCACGGAGACAAAACTTGAAGATGTTATTTTAAATGAGGTCATATTCCCAAGGGGCTACTCAATTTGGAGACGGGACAGACAAATTAGGAAAGGCGGTGGCGTTGCTGTGCTGGTGAAAGAACACCTAAAGGTGAACGAAATAATGACTGCCAATCCACAAGAAGTTGACATAATAGCACTAGAGATCTGCCATGAGGATGATAAACTAATGATCATAAATGCATATAGTCCACCGCCAAGCAGCACATGGTCAAAGGAGGAGCTAGATAGTAAATGAGAAGGTCTTATAACAATAATGAGAGAGTTCATAGCGAGAGCGGATAACGATAGATCAGGACTGTTGATAGTCGGCGACTTCAACTTGAAATCCATAGACTGGGAAGCATATGAAGCTAAAACAGAAGATTTTTGGACCTGTAAATTTGTAGACCTCATCCTGGAAACATTCTTGTATCAACATGTTAAACAAGCTACGAGGATGAGGGAAGGGGACGTTCCCTCCATGCTAGATGTGATATTTACCAGGAAGGAGGAAGAAATATTTGACATTCAGTACCTTCCTCCCTTGGGTAAAAGTGACCATGTCTTTTTGGGAATCAAGTATGCAATGCATTATAATCTGGAAGAAAATAAGAAGGTTGATACAATTGAAAAACCTGACTTTAGGAGAGGACATTATGGCAACCTTAGAAAAATTTTTAGTGAGTATAATTGGACAGACTTGTTGCTAGGCAAGGAAGTGAATGAGATGTATGTCAAGTTTTGTGAAATATATGATAAAGGCACAAAAATTTTTTATACCAAAACAGAGATGCAGAACTAGGAAACAGGATTGGTTCAACAGAAATTGCAAGAGGGCCAGGGACCAAAAGACACAAAAATGGAATCAGTATAGGAAGAGGCCAAACCCCCAAACATACCAGCGATACAAAGATGCGAGAAACAACTAAACGGCAGTGATTAGAGAGGCAGAAAGAAATTTTGAAAAAGGGATTGCAGACAAATGTAAAAGAGAATCAGGTCTATTCTATAAATTCATAAACAACAAATTGCAGGTAAAGGATAATATTCAGAGGTTGAAAATGGGAAATAGATTCACAGAAAAAGAAACGGAAATGTGTGAAACATTAAACAAAAAGTTCCAAAGTGTGTTTGTACAAAATGAAATCTTCAGGGAACCAGACACAATAAGAATTCCAGAGAACAACATAGAGCACATAGAGGTGTCTAGAGATGAAGTGGAAAAAATGCTCAAGGAGCTAAATAAGAACAAAGCAGTTGGTCCAGATGGAGTTTCACCATGGGTTCTGAGAGAATGTGCACCTGAGCTCAGCATTCCACTTCAACTGATTTTTCAGGCATCTCTGTGTACAGGAGTTGTAGCTGATGTGTGGAAAAAGGCTAACATAGGTCCAATCTACAAAAGTGAAAGCAGGGAAGACCCCCCTTAATTATAGACCTGTATCATTGACAAGTGTAATAGTCAAAATATTGGAAAAAATAATTAAAACTAAATGGGTAGAACACCTGGAGAGAAATTATATAATATGAGATGGACAGTATGGTTTTCGATCTGGAAGATCCTGTGTATCGAATTTACTCAGTTTCTATGATCGAGCAAGAGAGATATTACAGGAAAGAGATGGTTGGGTTGACTGCATCTATCTGGACCTAAAAAAGGCTTTCGACAAAGTTTCACATAAGAGGTTGTTCTGGAAACTGGAAAATATAGGAGGGGTGACAGGTAAGCTTCTAACATGGATGAAAAATTTTCTGACTGATAGAAAAATGAGGGCTTAGAGAAATAGAGGGATAGAGAAAATGAGAGCAGAAAAATGAGAAAAAAGGAGGACTGACGAAAAAATGAGGAGAAAAATGAGATATTCGGGCATGGGGATTTTGGAGGTTGAACAGGGTCGTGGCTGCCAGATGAATGTGAGTGTCGTGAGCCCTATCCGGCCTTGTATTGCATTGGGCCATCTGTTGCGGTCGTATGTCTCATCCTCATCTTGAGACCTGCGGTACTGCCGCCTCCTGGGTAAGTCCCTGTTTTTACTTATCTGTGGGTAGTTGACTTCGGGAATCCAACAAGGCTTCCCACAGAAAACCAGCATTGAATGTAATGAAACGCCATTTTCTGGGCGAGCCTCGGAGGCTCCCTAACACGTTCCTGTTGGTTGTGTTCATCATTCTATGAACTGGGATGGCTCGCCTGAGTGGGCTTCCTCCCTCCTTCCCTAAAAAAACAAGCAGGCATGTTAGTTGTATGATGGTTTGCTTGTTTGTTTTCTTTTGCGGGAAGTTAATTTGCTCTGTTTGAACTTAGGTAAGAAATTTTACCACCTTGTGGTTTGTTTTGTTTCACCTATCTTTCTGGGTGCCCTCCCCTGTTGATGGCAAGTATGACATAGTCTCAATGTAGAGTGCTCATAGGGCACTGCTCCTCTGAGGGGACCAGGTTCTGGCTTGTGGTTCCCGAAAGGCACAAGAACTCCCTTGATTGATGACCTCAAACTAATATTGAACATGTCAGTTTGGATAGATTCAAGGAGTTTCTGGGGCTCGCCCAGAAAATGGAGTTTCATTACATTCAATGCTGGGTTTTTTACATATAAATTTCTCTTTAATCATTTTAAATCAAAGATTTTTATACCTAGATTCTTGATGCATTTTCAACACCGTAATAATGGCTCTGTAACCATAAATATATAAGCATACAACATTCACATTACTGTACAGTTCAAACATAATGGAAAACCTGTATTTTTAAGCATAGTAAATCACATTGGGCAGTCAGATAATATACTGTATAATTTGGATCGTTACTGGTAAAAAGCCAGATTTTTAGGTCGCAAGACATACTTGAACAGTGTCTTGACAAGTATTGCATAGTTGTGAAACATTGTTTATCAAACATAAAATGTTATCTGCGGATGGATTAGTGAAGTACAGCAATACAGTATATTTCAACATTTTTAATTTCTTTTATATAGTTTTAACTCATTACATTACTTCTATCCGGATCTTGGTGAATGAAGCATTTTATTAAAATATAAATATTTGTTTGATATCTGCAAGGCATGGAAGGTTGGCTTATCCCAAAACCTTAAAATAGTATGTGACAGAAATTTGGTGTGTGAACACTTGGCTTGGTCAGTAGCATTAACAAATTTGCTGCCTGTAATAAGTTATTTTGTTCGGTTGCATATGATCTTTACTCTTCAGATCCTACACTTTATAATAATGATATAATGGTTTTTGCAAGCACTGTAACATACTTGTAAAATTTAATGACAAATTGGTAACATGACATAAATTTGTTAAATGTGCTCCATGACAGATCTGTCAAACATACCTTGTGACAAATTGATGAAATATGCCATAGAATTTGATGGTAGACAGTGCTTTCTTTTGAGAAAAATGCCTAGTTGACAATTTTTTACTTGTACTTAGGTTACTAGTTTAATATAAAGAAAAAGTTGAAGGACATCCATGAATCAAATCTCTCGGATTTGTCAGATCATTTGCAAAATAAAAAGGAATATATGATATGAAATTACATGTCATATTAATGAGTCCACATTAGTTTAGTTACTCAGTACTGTACAGTAATCTATTTGTTATGACTGAATAATCTTAATGTTGATATACACAAGTCAACCTCTGATAACTAATACAGGTATTATTGTAAGCAATGCTATTTATCCTCCTAAGATAGAAACAAATACTGAAACATTGTAGAAGTATGAAATTGAACATACTGAACAAATCCCCAAGGACCGTGACGAGGATTCCAACCTACGTCTGTGAGCATCCCAGACGCTGCCTTGGGTAATTTTGTAATGAAGGGAGAACATACTGATACTCATTTTGTAGTGCAAGGTCATAATGAATTATAAATTTGTTTTTTCTAGAGTTTTTGTATGTACTCTAACTAAGAAGTTGTAAATAGCATGTTGCTGACTACAGAAATGTGTAACAGATGAGAGCTGTGACACTACACATGTAGTAACAATGGACAGCAGAATGAAGACAGCATCTATAAATATTCACTAACAAGGCAACAAATAAACAGTTGGTCAACACATTAACAACACCCAGGCTTAAATTGTTCAGTATCACTGACAGTTGGTAATTTTCCAAATACATGCTTCAAAATACCTGTGGTTGCTATCTCACACTTGAGTGTTTTTGCACTGAACCTGCTTAGTAAAATGATCAACGCGACCTGCACGTTGAAATGTCTCGAGAATAATACTGTCTGCGGCACGAGTATCATATGCCATAAGGAAACATGAATATCTCACATACTCCAAGCCTTTTCAGGTATGTCTTTATGGAGCAAAAGGTAGACTACATTGTATCACTTGTGTGCAGCAAGAACCAGATTATTTTGTTGGACACTGCTCATAAATAATTTTCTTAACATTTCCATCTGGATCATTTTGTAGAAAACCAGCGTAATGTCTTTGGTTTTCATATACAGTACTGTATTAGAAATTATCCTTCAGTGAAGCAGTGTGTTTCATGCACCACACATTGCAACATCTTGTTTCACTGTAACATCACTATAAAATCTCATAGTGACTTGGTGCCAGTCAAGCACAGGAGATTCCTTTACTTCCTTGCATTGGTATATTTCGTGTATGCTTTTTGAACTTAACTTCGTACCCCATATGTTGACCTCCCTAATTTCACCAATGAATTGTGAAGTAGGATCAAAATCTGTCAAATCAGGTAGCAGTGTCTGACCAATAATTGTTAGACCATTTCCTGGAAGTGTCATTTCATTGGGCAATACATTAGTCAATGTTCCAGCCAATTCTCCATTGATATAAACTGCAACCTGATGATTTTTACTGCTCCAAGTAAAAGTAAGATGGTACCATTGGTTTGTTCTAAATTCAAATGGTAGTTTTTTGAAGTGAAAATTTACATCATTTTCCTCATTACTTTGCTTTGAAGCTTGGGGCATTGCATTATTTGTACCACTTGATTCAACACTGAAGACTCTGTCCTCTAAGTATGGCTTTGAATCCTGCCCATGCATCCATTCTTCTGCTTCTTCTTGGGTGCCGACATAATGCACGGGACGAGGTAAAAGACCCTGAGCAATAAGTTCCTGTGGATTGGCATTCCAAACCAAATCATCAAGGTTAACTTCGTCCTGGCTTGGATTTGTTGACGTCTGCAGGGCACTACCATACGTAATGGGACGAGGTATATCCTTTGGAGATATGTATTGTGGGGGCAATTGCTCATGGAACAAATGTGTGGACTCTTGATAGTGTGACACCGGCTGTGCTGCCTCCTGGGAAACGAGCACTCCTGCTGGCTGATAAAGTTCATCCAATGAGGAAGTGTGTTCATCATTATCCCCTGCTGGAGAGTAATATGGAATATCATCTTCATCAATATGAAATACAGCAAATGAAGAATTATCTTGTTCGTGTCCAGGTACTTTTTTTAGGTTTTCCTCGACTTCTACTTTGAAACTCAAATCTGGACTCGCTTGAAAATTGGGTTTTGGGTCTCTTGTACGGTCACTCTGTTTTATTGCAGTTGGAAGGCCACTAAGCTCAGGTAGTAAAGGAGGACCAGCAAATACTGTTGCATTATGAATGTTATTTTGTTTTGATATATTGTGAAATTGAGTTGGCCTTTGAATTAATGGGGGATTGCTTGGTAATATAAATGGGAGATTTATTTGTTCTGGTGCAAGAGGAATATTACTTTGCTCAGGCACAGTTGGACGAATAGGCGACTGTGGTATGTCTGATGAAACCGGAGTTGACTTAACATTAATGGGTTCAGTTGGTTCGCCTTCATCGTTTGTCTTTGGCACAACTTTAGACTTGGGTTCAGTAACACTTGCTACCTGTGGACTTCCGTGTTGAATGACTGTTTGGGTCGTAATCTGTGATTTAATAGAGGTGGAAATTAAGTGGGGTTTTTCAATCTTTGAAGATATAGTTTCTTTATGAGTGGAAATTTCTGCAGCATCCTCACCTATGGGTATGTCACTACGGGATGGTGTTGGTGACAGAGGGTCTTCAGTGGGTAAAAGAACAGCTTCTTCCTCTTTAAAAAATGCTGGAGCAATGGTCTCTTCAAAGTTGACTTCAGGTTTTGTTGCATAGTGAACAGAAAATCTGTTTTCTTGAGTAGGTACATTGTCTCCTAAGTAATTTTCATTTGTTTCCTCTTCAATTGTTTGGGCAACTGCATCATGGATATCAGTAGACTGTTTTGACTTTGAAAACTCTACTGCCTGTTGTGTTTGGTAATATTGATACATTGTATTAAATGCTTCTTGATCAGTGATTGGAATGGAATACACTACAGCCGTGTCACCGTCCTTAACAGGGGCTACGCCCTTCATGGCACGGTTAAATTCGTCCATGTGGTGTGGAGCGATGCTCACTGATCTGTGCTTGCTCACAGCATTTTGTCCCCCTTGAGGTTTACTTGACCACTTGTCCAAGTAATTCTGACCCTTGCTTGATTTACTGTCTGCTGCGGTAGACCAAACAGAAACTTTAGACTTTTGTCCAGTAATTTGAGGCTTGTCTGTTACTTGTTCCTGATGATTGAAGTGAACTATTGAAACAAGATTAGGTTGCTTTGTGGTTGACCTGGTTGCTGTGATAAGCGTTGAATGCATTTGTGGAGGGGCTCGAGTGGTACTTGAAGGGGCAGTAGTGGTGGAAGTAGTGGTTGTGGTTGTGGGTTTTAATGTTGAAGATGCTAACGAAGGAGGTTGTGAACTGTTAGGGCGCTTGATTAGCTTCCAAAGAGGCATCCTTGTTGTATGACGAGATGGTCCTGTTGAACGATTAAGAAGTGACACCCGAGTTCTAGATCTTGGAACAGATGTAGTTGGTGGGGCAGTGAACCGACTAGTGGTGAAGCGTAAGTTGTTCAACAGCGAAGTGGTTGTGGGAAGTATCGTAGTTGAGGACCTTCTGGTGGTTGTAGCTGTTGTGGGTCGTCTAGTGATTGCAACTGTCGAGTGTCTTCTGGTGGTTGTAGTTGAGGGTATTCTGGTGGTTGTGGTTGTTGAGGGTCTTCTGGTAGTTGTGGTTGTTGAAGGTCTTCTGGTGGTTGTGGTTGAGGGTCTTCTGGTGGCTGTGGTTGTTGAGGGTCTTCTGGTGGTTGTGGTTGTTGAGGGTCTTCGAGTAGTTGTAGTTGTATATTCTGTTGGATGTTGAGTAGGGCTGATTATTTTATGTGTTGTCCTGGAATTTGGATGAAGGGATGCGAGTTGAGAAGGTCCATTGATTGTCTGTCTTACGGCAGGATGTGGCCTTGCAAATGTAGCTTCTGAAATAGGAGACTGTTGTGATGGTTGAGTATTAGTATAGAATGGTTCTCTAACATAATTTGGAGTCCAGCTGTTTGAACTAAGTTTAACTTCTGTTACTTGAGCTGTCCATGCCCCTGGATTACCTGGATTAATTTTTTGAGAACTAAGTTCCTCTATTGGGATTCTTTCTACTGTTTGGTTTGGTTTGGTTGTTTCCTTCACATGTGTTTCCTGTTTTGATTGCCAAATTGGTGACCATTCATTGGGTGATTGGGGTATTGATTGCTTTGGTGCTGCGGGCACATTCCAGTTGAAGAAAACGAAGTCATCATCCCCACTAGGCTCAGTTATAATGCGTGGTTCAGGCTCGGCTAAGTGAAGGTCATAGGGATCACTCTCCAACATTGCTAGTTCATAAGGGACATTAGTCCAGTCATCGTAGGACTCGGAGCGGGATACCCCAGCACGGACTGGTAGCAGATGAAGGCCAGCATTCAGTCCAGATGGTGAAGCCTCGAGGTCTGTCACACCCATCTTATCAACATCAACAAAGGTGTATGGTGTCCACGTGTCTTGCGAACGTCCCTTACGAGAATCTGCTAGGATGTCCACGATGTCCCCAAGTCCTGTACTGTAATCCACAGCATCACGTCTCACTCTGTGTAAATTTTCGGGCTCAGCAGGTGTCCATTGTGTACGAGGATGACGGTCTACTTGATGCAAGTGGTATTGCTTTACTGGTGAGGGACCACCCCACAAGACACCAAGCCCATCGTGTCGGAGGAAGAAAGCCACCTGGCTACTAGCATCTGGGGAGACAGTAGTAAGGATGGGAGCTACACCATCTGGAAAGGAAGTGACATTGATCCATGCAGAAAGGGTGAGATCCAAGAAGGGCGGTGGGGCAGTTATGAGGCGAGCGTAGCCCCCGTTCCCTACGACCAGTCGGTAGCTAGGGGTGGTAGTGTCCTTTGCTGCTGCGTCCACACTAACATACACTGTCAATACCAAAGCCAACCTGAAAAAAATTTGCAGTATTAATTGTGTGTTCTTCCACAGGAATAAGGGAACATGACAAAAATAAAGGAACATTTACTACATGTATTGAGGATGATAACTGTCTTGTTTCAGCATGAGAAGTGAAATTTGAGGACCATGGTGGATGGGTTATAAAGATCCTTAAATGCTTAGGAAATTAACCTCAGTATTTGTTTAGCTAAGCAAGTTAGAGATGAACTAGTAACAAAATTTCTTAAGATATTTCCTGATTAGGTTTCCATAGTTTAAAATATTGAATTACACTATGTGGCACATAATGAGTTCAGTAACTGGAATGCAATGATCTTTAAATTGATCAAGTTTTAATTGTGATAACTACTGACAATAGTTGTAGTGGTGGTGAATCAGAACAGCAGCTAAAATATGCATCTTGCAGGATGTGCAAGCTTATAAAAAGTTTACCTTCAAATCTGGGTTGTCACTGAATGAAACATTTAAACATTGCAACACAAATACTAATCATTAAAGTGTATTACCATAATACACTAGCCCTTGCACTGCTCACTTTTTAAATTTGACAACCCCACAATGTGCACACACAAAATTGGTCTGAAAATACATTTTCTTTTGACGTTGCTAATTAACATCCAGGAAGCATGAAAACCCAAGTTAAAAGTCTTTACTTATATGGTTTAGCTGTAGTGGCCCAGAGAAGTTGTGTTTTTGGGAGAAATTTGTTTCCTGTGGGGAGACCCATCAGTAGTGGGAAACAACACGTAGAGGTGCCGTTTTGCTTTTTTCGACGGCGCTTCTACGTGTCGTGTGTTTTTTGTTACCCCGTTGACCCTTGCACAGACATAGCTAATGGTCAATGATGTCACCAGCTAGCCGCTCAGTGACCCTGCATAGGCACGTTCAAAGGGATTAAAAAGTCGGTCTATGGCCTGTGTATTTCTGGTTACCACAGCAAGTGATTGCTAGACTTCTAGGTCCAGCCATTTCGCTCAAGGGGATTAAAAAATTTGGTTTATGAGTCGTGTATTTTTCGTTACCCCGGGTGAACCTGCACAGACATCGCTAATGGTCAATGACGTCAGACAATCTTCCTTGTATGAGACTATTATTGTTTCTTAACCAAAAACATCAACTGCCTCTTATATATAAACTGCAGTAAGACTATTCCCTATTAATATCCCCTTTCATCTCCATTTATACTCTTCAATAATGATATTAATATTCAGAAGGACCTGGAAGCTTTATATTTACAGTATAGTGTCCATCCAAAGATGGTTTAATAACCATAGGAATGAATAAAATCCACCATGAGCCATTTGCATGTAGCAAAGGGGAAGCAACACAGAACATGAACTAACATGTATCTCAGCATTCACCCCTGTTACCAAACCAGTATTTACCCATGTGTCTCATTTTTTCCTAAATCTAAAACTTATCCAATTTATAACCATTGTTTCGTGTTCTGTCTTATGTTGATATTTTTAATGGGCTATGAATATCCCCTTTGTCATGTCCATTCAGTCACACCTCTATCATGTCACCCCTATTTCTTCACCTTTCTAGAGAATATAATTTAAGCTTTGTCAATCTTTCTTCAAGGATCGTTTTATTGAGTATAGGCCAAATATAAATGAAAACCCGCTATTAGCCATTTGTATGAAAACAGACCCCCAGGCATGGTGACTTCAATAGGGGACTCAGTAGTAATCCAACTCTTACTAGCTCTAGTTGCCCTTGGGAGGTGGTGATCTTTTAGGGGGGGGGGGTAGTTAAATACCCCAAAATTACCATCTCTTTTAAAGGTCTGAGTTTGGTGTAGTGGGTTAAAGGCGCACCTGTTATGCCAGTTGCTGTAAGGCTTCTGTGCTGGCTAGGGTTCGAGTCTCCTGGTGGAAAAGTGTTGTAAAGTTGTAAAACTTCACTTGCGTGTTTAGGCAAGTTAGTGCATTAAGCATAGACACAGTGTTCTCCCATATTAAGAGGGACTTGATGAAAGAACCTGAGTGACCTCTCACTAGCTCTAGTTGCCCTTGGGAGGTGGTGATCTTTAAGGGAGTTAAATACCCCAAAATTACCATCTCTTTTAAGGGTCTGAGTTTGATGTAGTGGGTTAAAGGCGTACCTGTTATGCCAGTTGCTGTAAGGCTTCTGTGCTGGCTAGGGATCAAGTCTCCTGGTGGGAAAGTGTTCTAAAGTTCTAAAGAAAAATATATATATATATATATATATATATATATATATATATATATATATATATATATATATATATATATATATATATATATATATATATAATAATATCTAATCTATCTAATCTATCTATCTATCTATCTTTCTATCTCTGTTGTCGGCAAGATATTGTGGAAACCCACAATATCTGCTAGATATAAATTGTCCAACTTACTTCGTAATTTTTTTCCTTAAACGTGTTTTTTGTGAATTATTTATTAATTTTATTATTTGTCATCATAATATGTACTGTTTCATTAATCGCTAATTGCCTGTGTAGAATGTGAACTTTTGAACTTTCAAGTGGAAATGTTATTATATAGGTCTTGAGACAATGTTTCCCTGTGCCCAAGGTTGTTAGTATATTCTGAAAACCTAATATGGTGTGGTATACCATTGTTGCTTCTGTCCATCATCATCTCTCATGATGGGGTTCACGGTAATTGCCATGACCCTGGCTTGGCTTCCGGTGCCGACAACCAGTTGGGTGACAATTTGGGGGAGCTGATGTAGGTTAAGGTGAAAGTTGGGGTCGAGTTGCACGCACTCGGCACCCTGATGCTTCCACCTTGCTGTAGTGGACATGACCAGCACATGCTTCGCGAGATACGCATCTCTGCATCCCGACCATCAGAGATGCAGTTTGATGGCTCGGTTAGTCTAAAATATAACGTGTCAGTAGACGAGTGGTTGTCATTACATGGGGCCTACATACTTGGCAGGGAGGAAATTCTCCCCTAATTAGCTGTTAACAATGGAGGAGAAATTGTGCCATAATCTGAACAACGTTTTCTGAGGTGTAATATTGCAAGAATGTCGAGGTGTGGAACTCGACACAGACTGCACGGTACGTGTTCACTAAGATGGGAATACTTACACACGACTCCGGAAGCCTTGGAGAAAGTGTTACCAAGTCTAGCGAGACCCGATATGAATGCGCTTCCATATTCCAGGTGTGGGAAAGATGGAGGGAAGAAGCACGTGAAAATGAGAAATATTGAAATACAGACCTTTCTTTCAATGATTGTTTTTATGTTGCATTGAAATTTTATACCTAGATTGTAAATATTACGCATGATAAAGTAGGTTGTTATCCTAAATGAATTCAAGGTTCTCGGATTCCATTTCAGGGTGGGTTAGAAATGGTTGGGCACATTGACTTTTACCTAATGCCTCAGTTTATCTATCTTGAGGTTATCTTGAGATGATTTCGGGGCTATGCATCCCCGCGGCCTGGTCCACGATCAGGCCTCCTTTTTGTTACACATCACTCAGGAAGCAGCCTGTAGTACTTGTCTAACTCCCAGGTACCTATTTACTGCTAGGAGAACAGAGGCATCAGGGTGAAAGAAACTGCCCATTTGTTTCTGCCGCCGTCAGGAATCGAACCCTGTCCCTTAGGACTACGACCCCCGAGCGCTATCCACACAGACACAAGGCCCCCGCAGCAGGGTGTGTGTGTGTGTGTGTGTGTGTGTGTGTGTGTGTGTGTGTGTGTGTGTGTGTGTGTGTGTGTGTGTGTGTGTGTGTGTGTGTGTGTGTGTGTGTGTGTGTGTACTCACCTAGTTGTGTTTGCGGGGGGGTTGAGCTCTGGCTTTTTGGTCCCGCCTCTCAACCGTCAATCAACAGGTGTACAGATTCCTGAGCCTATTGGGCTCTATCATATCTACACTTGAAACTGTGTATGGAGTCAGCCTCCACCGCATTACTTCCTAATGCATTCCATTTGTCAACCACTCTGACACTAAAAAAGTTCTTTCTAATATCTCTGTGGCTCATTTGGGCACTCAGTTTCCACCTGTGTCCCCTAGTGCGTGTGTCCCTTGTGTTAAATAGCCTGTCTTTATCAACCCTGTCGATTCCCTTGAGAATCTTGAATGTGGTGATCATGTCCCCCCTAACTCTTCTGCCTTCCAACGAAGTGAGGGTTAATTCCCGTAGTCTCTCCTAGTAGCTCATACCTCTCAGCTCAGGTACTAGTCTGGTGGCAAACCTTTGAACCTTCTCCAGTTTAGTCTTATCCTTGACTAGATATGGACTCCATGCTAGGGCTGCATACTCCAGGATTGGCCTGACATATGTGGTATACAAAGTTCTGAATGATTCTTTACACAAGTTTCTGAATGCCGTTCGTATGTTGGCCAGCCTGGCATATGCCGCTGATGTTATCCTCTTGATATGTGCTGCAGGAGACAGGTCTGGCGTGATATCAACCCCCATGTCTTTTTCTTTCTCTGACTCCTGAACAATTTCCTCTCCCAGATGATACCTTGTATCTGGCCTCCTGCTCCCTACACCTATCTTCATTACATTACATTTGGTTGGGTTAAACTCTAACAACCATTTGTTTGACCATTCCTTCAGCTTGTCTAGGTCTTCTTGAAGCCTCAAACAGTCCTCTTCTGTTTTAACCCTTCTCATAATATTGGCGTCTTTAGCAAACATTGAGAGGAATGAGTCTATACCCTCTGGGAGATCATTTACGTATATCAGAAACAAGATAGGTCCAAGCACAGAGCCCTGTGGGATTCCACTGGTGACTTCACGCCATTCTGAGGTCTCTCCGCTCACTTTAACTCTCTGCTTCCTATTGCTTAGGTACTCCTTTATCCACTGGGGAGCCCTACCAGTTACTCCTTCCTCTTTCTCCTGCTTATGCATCAACCTTTTAAGGGGTACTGTGTCAAAGGCTTACCGACAGTCCACAAAAATGCAGTCCGCCAATCCTTCTCTTTCTTGCTTAATCTGTGTCACCTGATCGTAGAATTCTATCAAGCCTGTAATGCAAGATTTACCCTCCCAGAACA